CTGTGTCCTACCTTGACTAATTACTTGTATGGTCATACCAGCCCTTGTCATTGCTGATACCTGCACACCCATCACAGCCTAGAATTCAAGCACCATACTCCCCGACCACCACTTCCTGGTGTACCCACTTGCTCCTTGTACTACCCCCACTCCAGGAGCCCGTCAATCCCAAGGACTATCACCACCGATCTACCAGCTTTCTACTATCCTTCACACTCCTCATGGCCTCACTCCTCTCCTCAGCCAGACTAAATCTCATGGCCAATCATGATATCACCCCCTTGCATACAGCCTTAACTCTCTGCACGTCCCCTTCCTTTACTTCATTGTACTCTCCTGACAAACCCCGAACCCTGCCTAAATCCAGCCACTCTGAGCCTGTGCATGTACCTGCACAGCTGGCTAAAGAACAATACACAGCATGCTGACTGGTTTTTCCTCTACTGTCAGCATTTCTCAACCTTAGTTGCCCGACATTTTGGCAAGGTAATTCTTTGCTGTGGGAGGCTGTCCTGTGAATGCTAAGGTATTCAGTAGCATCCCTGGCCTCTACCCACTAGATACTGTCTCCCAAGTTGTGACAAGCAAAGATGGCTTCAGACATTGCTACAAGTCCTCTGGAGGCAAAATTGCTCCCAGTTTGAGACCATTGCTCTATTTTAATGAGTTCTGGCATCAAGTGCCCCTCAGCACGGCCTGGCAATCACACAGCACATCCCCAGTCCAATTACCCTTCCATTCTCTAGGATGACTCTTCTATACCTTCTTTTGTCCCTCAAACCTCCACCTCCTTTCTGCTTCCTTACTGCCAGCTGCTGACCTTCTCAAGAGAATAGAAGCAATCAGACTTTCTTCCTGCTCCCACTACCAGACATCTGTGCCCACAGTCTTTGCCGTCTCTCCTGTTGCAGTGCTCCACTTGAACACTGGCTCCTGAAGGACATCGCTCCCGTGTCGTCGTCCTTTCCCTCTCCTGCATCATCCCATCAGCAAAACATACTGTCATGTCCCAAACCTCTTGAACCCACCGCTGCCTTGATCTACTGCCTATTTCTCTATGCCCTTTTACAGCACAGCCCCCTTAAGGAAATGACCATACTGGCTGTTTCTTCCTGTCTTCTATTCTCCTTGACCCACTCCAGTCAGATGTTAGCTCCCACCACTCCCTCAAAAGCACTCTAATCCAGCCAACTCCACTTTGTGAAATCCATGAGCAATTCTGTCATCGGCCTATTGACCTATCATATCAGCATCATTTGACATAGCTAACCTCCCCACCTTGTAACACAGTTAAACAAACAAACAAACGGAAAAAAAACAAAACAAGAAAACTCCTGATTTCTACTGACTTAGTGATAAGAAGTTCCTTATCTTTTTTTTCTGGTTCTTCCTTATCTAAATCCTAATATCAGAGTGCTCTAGGGTTCAGTCTTTGGACCTCTTCTGTTCATCTATACTCTAATGATAATCCTATTGTCACATGGTTTTATATACCATCATATGATGATGTTTCCTAAATGTAATGTATATCTCCAGCCTAGATCTGTCCCCTGAACTCTATTTCTTATAGTCTACATCAGGCGTCCTCAAACTACCGCCCACAGGCCACATGTGGGTGTTTTTGCCCGTTTGTTTTTTCACTTCAAAATAAAATATGTGCAGTGTACACAGGAATTTGTTCATAGTTTTATTCTTTAATTTTTTTAATTTTTTGAGACAGAGCCTCACTTTGTTGCCCAGGCTAGAGTGAGTGCCGTGGCGTCAGCCTAGCTCACAGCAACCTCAAACTCCTGGGCTCAAGCGATCCTCCTGCCTCAGCCTCCCAAGTAGCTGGGACTACAGGCATGCACCACCATGCCCGGCTAATTTTTTCTATATATTTTTAGTTGGCCAATTAATTTTTTTCTATTTATAGTAGAGACGGGGTCTCGCTCTTGCTCAGGTTGGTTTCGAACTCCTGAGCTCAAACGATCCGCCCTCCTCGGCCTCCCAGAGTGCTAGGATTACAGGCGTGAGCCACCGTGCCCGGCCTGTTCATAGTTTTTTTTAAACTATAGTCCGGCCCTCTAACGGTCTGAGGGACAGTGAACTGGCTCCCTGTTTAAAAAGTTTGAGGACCCCTGGTCTACATTGTATCTCCACTTACATGTTAATTAAACTTCTTAAACTTAACCACTCCAGTTCAAACTCCTTCAGTCTTCTTCATCTTAATAAATGACAACTCCATGTTTCCAGTTGTTTAGGCCAAAAGTTTTGGGATCTTCCTTGACTTCTTTTTTTTCTCACACCTTATATTAACAAATCCTACTGGCTCTTCCTTCAAAATGTATCAGTCCAACCATTTATATTTATACCACTGTTACTGGTATCACCCTGCTCCAAGCCACCACCATTTCTTGACTGGATTATTTCAGCACTCTTCTAATTGCTTAGACGACTTCTCCCACCTTCCATTTTTACTCATTTATGGTTTAATATTAACACAGCAGCCAAAGAAACTTCCTTTAAAATGCAAGCAAGATCATGTCAATCCTCTACTCAAAACTCTCCAGTGCTTCCCATATCACTCAGTAAAAGGCTGAAGTCCTCACAACTAAAGATGGCCTACAAAACCTTACAGAATGTGGCCAAGAAAGCCTGCTGTACCCTCCCCTCCCCCAACTGTTATACACCCATGTTTTACTAATTTTCT